GAGGTCCTTAAAGCGGGCGTGCATACGCACACCAGAGTACCTACAGTCCCTGTCTTACTGTCCCCATTCATCTGTATCTACTTCCTTTGTTCTTGTTTATGTTCATACCTACACTTGTTATCTTGTACATTTGACAAACAAATTAAACAAACAAACAAACAAACAAATAAATAAATGAGCTGGAGGTCTTTTAATTCAGCCCCCTGTATCTTTTCAAATTGTTGTCCAATCGCTTCTTAAAAACTTCCAGTGTTGGAGCATTCACAATATCTGTGGACACATTTTGAAATTTTGCTAGGCTGAGCTAGACGTTGTACCTACATTTGGCAAATTTCTCTCTTATCTTGGTGATTCAACGTGCTGCAGCTGCTACCTCCCCCCCCTCGCAGCCCCAAACCTGGCAAACCTTGGCATGTTCACCTCCAATAATAGACGTTAGATAACCATGGAATTGTTAAAACCTTCACCATTGCCACATTCCGTTCCAGGTGGCAAAGATGGGATTTTGTGCCAATGTTTGATTTGGTTTGGCTTTCCAAGTTCCTTCCGCAAAAACAAATTCATTCAAAGTCTTCTTTGGGTTTCAGGTTTGACCTAAATTTTATGAAACCACTTGATAAGCTGTTAAATCTATAGTATAGTCAAAGCTGGAATAAATTACAGGCCACAATGGAGTCCCAAACTTCTGTTGCTGAGCCAGACAGTTGAAGTACTGTCATACTTCAACGAGTAGTCCTTAATGGGTCTAAGTCTACATGAAGGGAAGTAAGCAGTGGGGTGCCAAAAGGTTCCATCTTAGGCCCAGTACTCTTCAATATCTTCATTAACGACTTAGATGAGGGGATAGAAGGGGAACTTATCATATTTGCAGATGATACTAAGCTGGCAGGAATAGCTAATACCCAAGAAGATAGGCTTAAGATCCAGATGGATCTTGTCAGACTAGAACACTGGACCATATCTAACAAAATGAATTTCAATGTAGAGAAAAGTAAAGTTCTACACTTAGGCAAGAAAAACCAAAAGTACACATATAAACTGGGTGAAACCAGGCTCAATAGCAGTAACTGGGAGAGGGATCTTGGAGTCTTAATGGACAGCCAGCTAAATATGAGCCAGCAGTGTGCAGCCGCTGCCAAAAAAGCTAATGCAATCCTAAATTGTATTAACAGAGGGATACAATCAAGATCAAGTAAGGTACTAATACCACTCTATAAAGCCTTCGTAAGACCAGACCTAGAGTGCTGCATTCAGTTTTGTCCACCACATTATAAAATAGATGTTGAGACTCTAGAAAAAGTACAGAGAAGAGCAACCAGGATGATTAGGGGACTGGAGGCTAAAACATACAATGAACGGTTGCAGGAACTGGGCTTGGGTAGTCTAGTAAAGAGAAGGACCAAAGGAGACATGATAGCGGTCTTCCAATATTTGAGGGGCTGCCACAGGGAGGAAGGGGTCAAGCTATTTATTAAAGTGCCTGTAGGCCAGACAAGGAATAATGGATGGAAACTGAACAAGGAGAGATTTAACCTGGAAATTAGGAGAAACTTTCTGACCGTAAGAACAATCAACCAATAGAACAGAAGTTGCCCTCGGAAGTTGTGAGAGTGCCATCACTTGAGACTTTCAAGAAAAGATTGGACTGCCATTTGTCAGAAATGGTGTAGGGTCTCCCGCTTGGGCGGAGGGTTGGACTAGATGACCTACAAGGTCCCTTCCAACTCTGATTATCTGTTAAATCTGTTATCTGATAAATCTGAAGTGAATTTTGCCCCAAGTCTTTCTTGCCACCGTCATTAAGTGAATCCCTGTAGTTGTTAAGTTTGTAACAGTGGCACATTTTAAAGACCATTGTAACTTTGAACAGTCACTAAATGAACTGTTGTAAGTTGAGGATGGCCTGTATGCCCAGTAGTGGAAAGATCTGATATTACTTACAATGCAAAAAAGAAAAAAGAATAGCGAAGTGGAGGGAGCTGGCTGAGAAATGACTCCATCTTATTTTACAGAGGTGATATTTATGGCCATAATGAGCCATGCTGAGATTTTTTTTAATGATACTCACATATTTATTGCCTGTTTTGCAATGAGAAGTTTCTTGGAGCAGGTCATTGAACTAATCTAACTCCCGGAATATTGGAAGGTCTGTTTTGCACCGGAAGTGAAAAATGCAGTTTCTCTTTTCTCTACCTTCTCCAATCCTAGTTCTGGCAAGGATAATGGGAATCATAGTCCATCAAGTTGGGACTTTATTATGGCAAAGAGAGAACATCGTGTCAAACCTGTCAGCAATCTATATCAAAGCCAAGTATCACTCACTCATCACGAAATCTCCAGAACCATAAAGCCTACAAACTTGAAATTTGGCACATATGTTCCTTTTGGCTTCTAGGTACTCGCTAAGAAAGGATTTTTCAAAATGACCATCAGATCATTCCTATTCCTTAATACAGCAATTAACACGCTCTGATGCTAAGGAGTTCTACTCCCCGCCCCACCTGAAAAGAACTCTGTTTCAACTGCCAGTTGCCTCACATTCCGTTACCTCAGTTCAAACCGGCAGATATTCTACTCCTTCACTCAGGAGCGGCCTGGGGCTCCTTACAATACTAAACGTTGGTACCTCACCAAAATGTCTTTGCCTTCGACCTATGGAATTGCTTATGGACTCAAAGCGGTGGGAGCGATATTCCCTTATGTGTTTCAATCACGGACCACCACTGAGACAACAGATTGTGAACCGGATTTCTCCTGCATAGCCCGATCACAAAGTTTTATCGAGAAGCACAGGCATCAAGCTAGTTTTCCAATACAACAATGTTCCAATATTTGAGGGGCTGCCACAGAGAAGAAGGGGTCAGGCTATTTTCCAAGGCACCTGAAGGCCAGACAAGGAATAATGGATGGAAACTGAACAAGGAGAGATTCAACCTGGAAATAAGGAGAAACTTTCTGACAGGGAGAGCAAACGGCCAACGGAACAGAAGTTGACGTCAGAAGTTGGACGCTGGAAGCTTTCAAGAAGAGACTGGACTGCCACCTATCAGAAATGGTGTAGGGTCTCCTGCATGGGCTGGAGGTTAGACTAGATGACCTCCAAGGTCCCTACCAACTCTGTTACTCTGTAGCTCTAATTCCTTAAAAGAAGCTGCATATAGGCGAAGGAGTGGCAGAACCTGGGGCGGAGTCAAAACAGGAATCGGCCTGGGGTCTCTACTGTAGCCATAAACAGACTAAATCCAATCCTGCTTGGATTTTGTTGATCCTTCCTTACTTAGTCCCAAAATAATGCTGATCGTTAATTGAGTAGATTCTTGCGCGCAGGCATCAGCAATAAATCAGTTTAATTGGAATTTAACATATGATCCCTAACTTTTGATTCCTGACACTGCATCTCTTTACAGACTCATGCTGTTGTTCCATTGCAACCCCAGGTAGGTGTGTTTGATTTAAAGTGGGACTGGCAGGTAAAATGTGCGGGTCCATCTGTCTTCTGAATCGCTTGCTCTTCCTCAAACCCAGATCCTTCCACAGCCTTCTTTAAAGTACACCTGCATTTCTTTCCTGTTACTGTTCAGATTTAGAATCTCTCTCACCCCCCCTCTCCCTCCTCACCCCCCCCTCCACTCCTGATAGAATGTCCCCTTTCAAGGAGCCCGGCTCCTCAAAATGGAGGGCGAGAAAAGCTGCTTTCCCCTCCTCTCTCGCCCCTCCTTCCTTCCTTCTTCCTATCCTCTCTCTCTTTCTCTTCCTCCCTCCCTCTCCCTGTCCTTCTCTCTCTCTCTTTCTCCCTCTCTCTCACTCCCTTCCTCTCTTTCCCTTCCTTTCTCTCCCTCTCTCCCTTCCTCTCCCTGTCCTTCTGTCTGTCTGTCTCTCTTTCTCCCGCTTTTACTCCCTTCCTCTCTCCCCATCCTTTTCTCCTTTTCTCTCTCTCTCCCTGCTTCTACCTGTTCTCTCCTTCTCTCCTCTCCCTCACTTTTTCACTCCCTCACTGTCCTCCTCTCTCTCCTGTCCTCCTCTCCCTTCCTCTCTCCCTCCCTCCCTCCCTTCCTTCTTTCCCTCTCTCCCTCCCTCCCTTCTTCCTTCCCTCCCTCCCTCCCTTCTTCTTTCCCTCCCTCCCTCTTTTTCTTTCCCTCCCTCCCTCCCTCCTTTCCTCCCTCCCCTCCCTCTCTCCCTCCCTTCTTCTTTCCCTCCCTCCCTCCCTCCCTCCCTCCTTTCCTTCTTCTTTCCCTCCCTCCCTCCTTCCCTCCCTCCCTTCCTTCTTCTTTTCCTCCCTCCCTCCCTCCCTTCCTTCTTCTTTCCCTCCCTCCCTCCTTCCCTCCCTCCCGCGACCCTCCCGGGGCAGGGAAGCGTCCGCAAACGTCGCGCGCTCTTTTAAGGCACCTCCGGCTGTCAATGGAGCGGCGGGAGGTGAACCAGGCTGGGGGAACAGCGGAGTGGGGGGGTGGGTGGAGGGAGGAGAGAACGTCGGAGAGAGAGGTCGGGGATGGGGATGGGGGGGGCGGTGGGGGGCAGTGGCAATCGGAGAAAGCGATCGGGGGTGGGAGGAAGAAGAGAAAGTCAGAGCAATCGGGGAAAGAGAAAGTCGGAGAAAGTGGTCGGGGGCTCCTTTTTTTCCCTTGCTTTTGAGCGAGGGACCAGCGCCTTTTCATGCAGGTCTTTCATGCTCTCCCCCCCCCCGCCCCCCAGGCACGCATGGATTAGCAGCGTTTTGGGGACCCGAGACAACTGAAAAGACTTCAAGCGCCGACTCCGAACCAACCTCTGGATGCGCAGGGAGGGGCGGGCGGTGCACCGAGATGGGGAGGGGAGAAGGGGGAAGAGGAGGAGGAGGGGGGGGTTATTGTGGAAGGAGGGGAGGGGCATTTGCCCGGCCGGGGAAGAAGAAGAAGAAGAAGAAAAAAAAAAACACACAAACTTGACAAAAAGGCTGGGTTGGGTCACAAGGCGCCTGCGCCAGGCTGCCGGCTGCCGAGCCGTCCCGAACTTTTCCTCCGCCTCCTCCTCGCCTTGGCAAGCGGAGCTCAGCCCGGAGCTCGCAGAAGGAGCGCGGCGGGGCTCTCAGCTCGCACCTCCGAGGATCCCCTTCCCCTCGTACCTTCCTCCTCTCTCTCCGGGGCTGCCCTCCCTCCCTCCCTCCCGCCCAGGGGGAAAAGAAATAAGAGAAAAAAAGAGGTCCACCCGCGGGAGAAAAGCGCTCGCCCATCCCCGCGGACTCCCTCCCGCGTGGGGAAGACACCCCCATACCCCCCAAAAGCTCTGATTTTATGAAAAAAGATTGATTTAAAGCTTTATTTTTTGAGGAGGAGGAGGAGGCGGGGACGGGATCATCAGTGCGAGGAAACCTGCGAGGGGATGGGCTGTCGGTGCCCACCTGCCTGATCGTTGGGATCATCACTTTTCAACCCAGAGCGAACTTTTGCTTTCGGGAGCCCGGAAAACTTTCGGCGCCCTTAAAAACTGCGGCAGAGGTAAGTGGCGAAAGAGTCGGGGGAGGGCGGGGGGAGAGACAGAGAGATAGAGAAAGAGGGAAGGAGACAGAGAGAGAGAGAGAGAACAGAGAGAGAGAGGGAGGGAGGGAGACAGAGAGAGAG